ATAATATAATGTTTCAACTGAATTAAGTTTCACTAAACACATAACGTGTATAATATAATGTTTCAACTGAATTAAGTTTCACTAAACACATAACGTGTATAATATAATGTTTCAACTGAATTAAGTTTCACTAAACACATAACGTGTGTTTGGTAAGTGACTTGGGAAGATCTACCGGACAAACCTTCCTTTATCGAGAGGGACGTGGGAAGATCTACCGGACAAATCTTCCTTCATCGAGAGGGACTTGGGAAGATCTACCGGACAAATCTTCCTTCATAGAGAGGGACGTGGGAAGATCTACCGGACAAATCTTCCTTCATCGAGAGGGACTTGGGAAGATCTACCGGACAAATCTTCCTTTATTAGAGGGACGTGGGAAGATCTACTTTCAGGAAGTACTTAACACTACTTAGTAATGGCATGGTTTTATTACTTACCCGAGGGTAGTCATGGTGACAATGGTGTACCAGAAAGCTGATGGTATGCTGCTGAAGTTGGTGTCCTTGACGTTCTTTTCAACATAGAACATCACAGTGGCGAAGATGATGATGGCCATAGCCAGGGAGAAGACGAGAAACCCCAGTTCCGAGGCACAGCTCTTTAAGGTGTACCCCAGGATCCGCAGCCCCTGGGAGTGTCTGGAAAACTTGAAGATTCGAAACACTCGAAACACTCTTAGAGTGACGAAGGCACCCGAAACGTCTTCATTATGGGTCATCCCCAGACTTATGTAGTAAGGTAAAATGGCCACTACGTCAATAACAGACATAACACTCTTGACAAAGTGATATCTGCTCGGAGCTGCGTACAAGCGTAACATGTACTCGGCTGTGAATATCATAACACAGGCAGTGTCCAGGCAGAAAAACGCCGTCTTGTAAGTGTCGCCACAAGAGATCCTTTCTTTAGTGTCCGAGTCCTCGCCGCAAGGAATGGTTTCTACAATATTAGCCAACACCGACACCGCGATGAAAAACCCGGTGACGTAATAGAACACTAGAGCCGCCGTGCTCGTTTGTGGATTCTCAAACGCCCTCCACATTTTCTCCTGGATTGTGTAACTGGAAGTATCGTTCGGTTCGTTAACTTCCGATAGTTTATCGTCCATGATTCGCTCGGCATTTTCCCGTCTTTTATCTTTATATTCCTCGTAACAACAATCACCGATTACTTCCGGGATAATTCCGAAGAAAGCCAGCTCCTCGTCGTACGCCATCAGGCACTCTTGTTTCGGGAAGTGAAGCTTTCCCGTACGGTAATAATTCAAGATATGTCGGAACAAATCCGGATCACGATCGAAAAAGTACTCCTGGCTTTCTTCGTCCAAGAAGAACTCTCTTTCGTTCGAGCCGAGCAGCGTGTCGGGATACTTCTCCACCGTGGTCCGCCACGTTTCGAAACGTCGCCCACTGATATTAATAACAAACTTCTCGTCTTCTCGTCCGCCCTTGTCTTTAGTTATTGGCGGAGCGGGCAGCGGGTTCTTAGCAATCGGAACCCATGCGATGGCTGCCGCACGGGCGAAAGGAAGCCACGCGGCGACAGAAGCCATAGTTCCCGCGTTACACCCAGTTTACAACCCGCCGTCTGTGGAGTCTCGCGGGCTGGTGATCTGTTGTTAGCGTCGTATCACAAAAACACGCAGGCGCGCTACTACCAGGTGATGGGTAAGCTCCGGGTACATCGAAGAAATTCTTTATCTCGTGTGAAATGAAAAGGCTTAGCACTCATGACAGTCCAAACGTAGCAACAGATCACCTTGGAATGTTCACTTTCAACCTGCTTATGGTTAGCATCATGATGACGTACACTCTGCATCTAAATAAACAACGCAGCATCCAGTTAAAGATCCAAGAAATGTCACCGTTGATCTAAATCCAGATTAGTCAGTAAAGAAAAGGAATACTAACAGCTTGTACTGTTACACACAACAGGTGTTTACTCCGAGCAACAGAAACAACTCGATGTTCGTATATCATCATACTGTTGCATCCAGCAGTTGACCCTCGGCTTCCTCTAGTCCCGGCGGTCACCATAGTGACGGTGACGTCAAGGCGACCGCTTCTTATATTTGGAGGGCGACGCTTCCGCCCTCTATTGCCACTTTTGTACATTACTGCTATTTTGAGACAACGCAACTGGTCAGTTTCTTGGTTTTGCTAGTGGAAAATAGAACGACCATATGGAACGTATTGATAAGTATTAGTTTGTCCTGTGGTAATCACTGAATATTTGTCTGAGGTGGTTCTTGCCGTTTCTACCATCAAAATAATAGTGCTAAAGTTATCGTTTATTAGTGGGTTTTTGTTGTTCCTGTTCTTGTCAAGCACAAAGCGACACAAGGTGCTATCTGTACTCCGCCAACTGCGGGTATCTAAGCTCGAATTATAGTGGTATAAGCCCTCAGAATAACCACTGAACCACTCGAACAATGTCTCTGTTTTATCTGTCAGGATATTTTGTTATCTAACTTTATCCTTGTGTTATCTATCAGGATATTTTCGTATGTAACTTTATCCTTGTGTTATCTATCAGGATATTTTGTTATCTAACTTTATCCTTGTGTTATCTATCAGGATATTTTGTTATCTAACTTTGTCCTTGTGTTACCTATCAGGATATTTTCGTATGTAACTTTATCCTTGTGTTATCTATCAGGATATTTCGGTATGTAACTTTATCCTTGTGTTATCTATCAGGATATTTTGGTATCTAACTTTATCCTTGTGTTATCTATCAGGATATTTTGGTATCTAACTTTATGCTTGTGTTATCTGTCAGGATATTTTGGTATCTAACTTTATCCTTGTGTTATCTATCAGGATATTTTCGTATCTAACGTTATCCTTGTGTTATCTCTCAGGATATTTTGGTATCTAACTTTATCCTTGTGTGTTATCTCTCAGGATATTTTCGTATCTAACTTTATCCTTGTGTTATCTGTCAGGATATTTTCGTATCTAACTTTATTCTTGTGTTATCTATCAGGATATTTTGGTATCTAATGTTATCCTTGTGTTATCTATCAGGATATTTCGTTATCTAACTTTATCCTTGTGTTACCTATCAGGATATTTTCGTATGTAACTTTATCCTTGTGTTATCTGTCAGGATATTTTGGTATCTAACTTTATCCTTGTGTGTTATCTGTCAGGATATTTTCGTATCTAACTTTATCCTTGTGTTATCTATCAGGATATTTTCGTATCTAACTTTATCCTTGTGTTATCTGTCAGGATATTTTCTTATCTAACTTTATCCTTGTGTGTTATCTGTCAGGATATTTTGGTATATAACTTTATCCTTGTGTTATCTATCAGGATATTTTGGTATCTAACTTTATCCTTGTGTTATCTGTCAGGATATTTTCGTATCTAACTTTATCCTTGTGTTATCTGTCAGGATATTTTCGTATCTAACTTATACTTCCTTTACGTACATTTCCACTAGCGTTAAGAACTAATCATAACTATATTTGTTTGTGTACAATCAGAACCACGTTTTATGTTTGTGTACAACTAGAACCACGTTTTATGTTTGTGTACAACTAGAACCACGTTTTATGTTTATTTACAACAAGAACCACGTTTTATGTTTGTGTACAATTAGAACCACGTTTTATGTTTGTGTACAACTAGAACCACGTTTTGTGTTTGTGTAAAACTAGAACCACGTTTTATGTTTGTGTAAAACTAGAACCACACACAAACATAAAACACAACTATAATCATGTTTTATGTTTGTGTACAACTAGAACCACGTTTTATGTTTGTGTACAACTATAATCATGTTTTATGTTTGTGTACAACTATAATCATGTTTTATGTTTGTGTACAACTATAATCATGTTTTATGTTTGTGTACAACTATAATCAT